GCATCGTCAATGTAAATGACAGCACATATATCAACTGAGCTAGTCTGATTATGAAATTATATGGCATGATAAATTTTAAGTGAGTTATCAAAATAAGGTTTCCTTAATTTTTGCAGGTTTTTAGTGAATTTCGACCCTAGGGCAGGGGTGACCCTAAAAAAATCCTATCTTAAATCATTCTTTACACCCCAACCTATCAAAATATCCCAGTTTTATTTAGGGGCAGGCCTGCCCTGTAGGACTTCTAGGCCAAAATACATGCAGAAATCAACGCTTTGATGGACAAAATAGTGTTTTGGCCAATTTTGGAGGTTTATTGTACAGTTTTAAATAATATATATTTGGTATAGAATACAAATTTGAAAACTTTAGACATAAATACTATAGAAAATAACAAATAAAGATTGGTTTTTGAATGTAACTTTTTCCAGGAAATTGTTCTCTCCTATAGGTCAATTCTTTTCTCAAAGCGAATACATCCTTTATAACTGAAAGTGTCTAGGGTATGTTTTAAATTCAATGGTGTAAAAAATTAAAACCATATACTGTCAATAAAATACACTGATTAAGATGAATTAGGAATTGTTTTAGAGTTATAAATTATTGTCATTAAAACTTACGTTTGTGAGCTTCTAATGCAGTCCATTATCAGTCACGTATATTCCTTTCTGCTAATGTGTACTAGTGTGAAGTCACAGATTTAACTTCAGGTTCAAAGTGTGGATAGACAAGGACCAATAGGAATTGGGGGTCAAGCTCAGACATCTATTAGTGAAAATAATATTGTAGACATATCTCATTTATATCGTGATGTGTAAATCTGCTTAGGAAGTATGGAAACTTCCTTACTGAATCAAATTCATTAAAAATGTTGAATTTCCCCAATAACTTACCCAATATAACTCAAGTTAACAAATTTGTTTCCTGCATTTATTATGGACTCCTGTTGCTTTCGATGAAATTGTCTGATACAGATTTAATATTAATTAAATAACACTTGAATGTTGGCTAAAAATATTTCCAGCTATGCATATGGGATTAGTTTTATCCTTAAATTAAAAAAGAAAAAAACTGTAGCATAATAGGATAGGTATAAAATTGTTGATTGCTTAGAATGGTTTTTATGTCATGCCATGAATTTGGCCAGGGCATATAGTGTTTGTTATGTCCATCTTCTGTCCTTCTGTCATACTTTACATTTAGCTCACTTCATTAGCTCAGTTTCAGAGAAACTAAGATATTTTCATCAAACTTCATATGCTGTTTACAGTTAGATATTGATGAGAGTCACTCAGGTGACTTATTGCTATCTGTTTTCATCCGTCGTCATATGTCACAACTTTATGTACTGACCCAGGGATCAGGGGTTCAGGTTATGGTGGTAGGGCAGGGCTTAATTGATTACTGTGGTTTCATCAATTTTTGTTGCCACCAATATTCATGGATTTTGCAAACAGACACATTCGAGGATACGTAAATTCTTGGGCAATTTAAGCTGTGTCTATGCAAATGAATGACACATTTCTCAATTCAATGAATATTTAATTTCGTGGATCAGTTCAGCAACGAAATCCTTAAAAATTGGTGCTCAACGAATATTGATGAAACCACAGTATATAGTAAAATACATTAATTCTTTGAAAATCATCTCTGCTTCTGGGTATTAAATAAAATAGCTAAGTACATAGTTATGATGAGAAAGAGATTGCCTCTACCAAAATTGTGAATTTTTTGGCCAAAGGGTCAAGAGGTCTGGTGTTAGGAAGAGGCTCTATTGATTATAAAGTGAAATATTGTATATTAAATTCTTTGAAAATCTTTTTCTCTGCTTCCGGGTATGAAATAAACTAGCTAAGTACATAGTTACAATGACCAAGAGATTGCCTCTACCAAAGTTGTGAATTTTATGGCCCCAGGGTCAGGGGTTCTGGTGTTTGGGTGGGGTTCTATTAATTATATAGTGAAAATACATTTAAATTTTTGAAAATCTTTATCTCTTCTCCAAGGTATTAAATAAACTAACTTTAAGTAAATAGTAATGAACAAGAATGCCTCTACCAAAATTGTGAATTTCGTGGCCCCAGGGTCTGGGTATCTGGTGGTAGGACGGGGCTCTATTGATTATGTTATGAAAATACATAAAATCTTTGAAAATTTTCTTCTCAGCTCCTGAGTATTTAATATACTAACTAAGTAAAAAGTTATGAGCAAGAATGCCTCTACCAAAATTGTGAATTTTATGGCTGTAGGATTAGAAGTTCTTATGTTAAGGTGGCAGGGGCTCTATTGATTAATTATATGGTGAAAGTACAATAATTAAACCTTTAAAAAATCTTCTTCTCTGCTCTTGGGTATTTTTGCAGATGAACTTCCTAAATGATTACGATGAATAAGGGCCCTTTGTCTAGAGTTGTGAATTTCAAGGACTCTGGGTCAGGGGTACCAGGGGGGGGGGGGGGCTCTACTTATATACTGAAAATGAATTAGTTGTTTGAAATCTGCTCTGTGTTATTAATCAAACATATTTGATAAACAAGGGTGCCTTTTCAGAAATTGTACAATGCTTGGACCTATGGTCAGGGGTTCATGTGTGGTAGGAGCACTACTGATTATTGCTGAATATTACTGATTAGTTGAAATGCAGTAGTTGTTCCTGCCTATGGGGTTTAAGTAACCAAACTAAACAATTGTAGTTATGATCAACAATGTTTTTTTTTCTCAAAATTTTGAATGCCATAGCATCTAGCTTAGAATATGAACCAAATTCAATCATTTGAAAGTTGTTGCATGATGCTCAGGTGACTTATAAGACCCATGGGCCTCTTGTTTTAAATATTGTAACATATATAGTTTCACATCGTTAGGTGAACTGCATTAAATAAGAAACCAGGATGAAACATAACTGTTTTTCCTGACGTGTACAGATCCCAGGAGGCTTCTAGCTCATCAGAGATAAAAGTTACATCTTAACTTTTTAATTTTCTCATTAATTAAAAACCTAGATAAAACAAGGATTAAAAATGAAGAGAGGGGACTTCTAAGAAGATGTGTTTACCTGAAGTCATTAAAAGAAGAGCGAGCAGGTCTTGTCAGAAGTAACATTTCACCAGGGGGGACATTTTCTCTCTTGTAATTAATTAGTTAATTAATTGGACTGCAGGCACATAGACATGTAACACAAGGTCACGGAGAAGGTACAGGGGTGTATAAAATAGTGTCAGAAGCTACAGGGTGTGTGTAAAATAGTGTCAGAAGAAGTACAGATCAGAGATGCTGTATTTTATAACATTTCAACCGTTCCCCTATAACCACCCTATAAATGATGTGTAGAACTGGTCGTCACATTAATGGGAATCTTTTCTTTCTGTGATGAGACAGAGTGGCTATCAAAACAGTTTACATGTATTCTGGGATGTGACTCATTTTTTTGAAGTGATTTAAACAAAACTAGGGCTGTTTATGCTTTCTGTGAAGAGAGAATTGTGATTTTTGTGGTATGAGTAAGGTATAATGTTCTTCAGTTCTGTGAAGGGACATTTCTCACAAAAAGAAACATCATGGGAGGCAGTGGCTCTTTAGCTCAGTAAAGTGCCCTTGTTCTTTTCATGGAATTTGACTAGTTTCATAATGAGAGATAAACTGATATATTTTTATGGGAAGTAAAATTGTGAAACATTGTGTGACAGGATAAGAGTAGAGGGAGATATTTTTTAATGATGCCCATTAATGGTAAGACCCTGTGAGAATTTCTGATAGATGATAACTTTGATGTACGGTAGTTTGTAGAGTGCTGATATTGCTATTTGATATGTGGCATTAGTACATCATAATTTTTTCAGTTTAGTGCAATTGACCGTATGAAAAATTAAGGATGATTTTTTTTTCTAGTTATATAGTTTTATCTCATAATAGAAATTAAAAAAAATATAAAACATGTGAAAGAGGATTCAGAAACTAGTGATAAAAATATTTGGCATATAAAAACGTAAGGAATTTCTCTGATTTCTCACATCTTTCCAATAGAAATATCTTGTATATCGTTTACCTTGGTCATCCTGAAATATAAAACCTATTAATTCAGTTGATAAGTGTTTTGTAATTTCACTGAGGTTCTTTAATTAACAGCCATAAAAGTTTTATCAGATTATATAACTATGAATATTGAACAGTGCCGAGTCAATTAAAGTCTAGTTGGCAGTGTGTGGAAAATGATCATTAATTGTAGCGATAATTTTCATCAAACATAAATGGTGAATATAAAAAAAGGCTTTTTTCAGGCCATAAAAAAGTACACTACATTTCTGATCGAGAAAAAAAGAAGTTCAGATAAAAATGAAATTCCGTTCGTTTAGGTCATTTAGAGGCATGACTGAATAACTTGTTTGTTGAAATGTGACACGTCCAGAAAAAAAAAATGACAAAAAAAGGACAGTGGGCTTTGTGAAGTAAATTGTACAGAGGCCATATCAAAAGATTTAGTACTGGACAGTAAGCTGGGGAAATATCTTCTTGTTTGACAGAATTCGTAGCCAGTGTAAACAAAAAACACCATCTAAAGATGTGGAATAAAGATGTCATTTGTCAGTTTTCAGTCCAATAATTGTTGCGATGCTTCAGAATTTTAATTGGTTTAAAGTGTGTTACAAGGGGAAAAACCCTGAATTTTTGTAAGAAAATCTTAACTTATTGGAAGAGACCTAAACTTTTCTAGTAAGTATATTAGTTTAAGGACACTTAAATTTTGCGCAATCACTTCAAAAGTCAGTTCTGTACAGGCAGCTTAAAGCACTAAACCCTGGGAGTTGGTTGTTATATTATGTCAAGTGATAAAAACATTTCCTGATTCTAAAGTGCCGCTAAATTCTTTATTTCTGTATTTTACTTCAGCTCTTTCTGATAAGCTGTCAGATATATTTTACTACCTTTTTAATACAGCTATACGAAAGGATTCTACATGTTAATTTTTATTGTAAGAAGGGGTTCCTTGTTATTATTTTTAGCTGTGAGAAGGGTTCCCACATTGAGTTCCAGTTTGACTTTGGTGATGGTACGACAACAGTGGTACAGGGGAGAGAGGAGATGTTCCTTAACTACGTCAAAGGCAGCACGTCTCACAGATATACACAGGGTAGGTAGAACGAACATATAGACATATAAAACCTAGTATTACAGATACACACAAGGTAGACTACATAATCAGATATACACAGGGTAGGCTACATAGTCAGATATACACAGGGTAGGCTACATAGTCAGATATACACAGGGTAGGCTACATAGTCAGATATACACAGGGTAGGCTACATAATCAGATATACACAGGGTAGGCTATATAGTCAGATATACACAGGGTAGGCTACATAGTCAGATATACACAGGGTAGGCTACATAGTCAGATATACACAGGGTAGGCTACATAGTCAGATATACACAGGGTAGGCTACATAGTCAGATATACACAAGGTATATACACACAGGGTAGGCTATATAGTCAGATATACACAGGGTAGGCTACATAGTCAGATATACACAGGGTAGGCTATATAGTCAGATATACACAAGGTAGGCTATATAGTCAGATATACACAGGGTAGGCTACATAGTCAGATATACACAAGGTAGGCTAGATAGTCAGATATACACAGGGTAGGCTATATAGTCAGATATACACAGGGTAGGCTATATAGTCAGATATACACAAGGTAGGCTATATAGTCAGATATACACAGGGTAGGCTACATAGTCAGATATACACAAGGTAGGCTATATAGTCAGATATACACAAGGTAGGCTACATAGTCAGATATACACAGGGTAGGCTATATAGTCAGATATACACAGGGTAGGCTACATAGTCAGATATACACAGGGTAGGCTATATAGTCAGATATACACAGGGTAGGCTATATAGTACAGGGGAGAGAGAGATGTTCCTTAACTATGTCAAAGGCAGCACGTCCCACAGATATACACAGGGTAGGTAGAACGAACATATAGACATATAAAACCTAGTATTACAGATACACACAGGGTAAGCTACATAGTAAGACCATTCATATAACCACACATTGATCCAAATCTCAGCATCTTAAATTTGAAACCGGTTTCTGTTTAGAGCAGTTTTGTTTTCATATTTCAGAGGGAGTGTTTAACATCACGGTGACAGCAATAAATCCCCTTGGCAACAGAACAGCAACACTTGACAGGCTGTTCTATGTACAGGCCTCACCGTTTGGATTAAAGCTGGATAAATCCATTTACTACACAAAACTTGGTAATGTCACTGTTATGCGTGCTACTTTCTCTCATGGTACCAATGTAACATTTGACTGGAAGCTCGGAGACCAGACTGATATACTCAATAACTCAGGTAACTAACAGTAACACTGGTAACTAACAGTAACACAGGTAACTAACAGTAACTCAGGTAATTATGATGATTCTGGTAATTAATGGTAACTCAGGTAATTAATGGTGATTCAGGTAATTAATGGTTGCCCAAATTCTGAAATTACTCACTTCACTTATTTCTATCTCATATGACTCATAAATAAAAAACAAACCTGCTTGTATTATTTAGAAATTGTGAAAACTGGTTCCATAATGACATGTTTACTTCAGATTACCGTAAATCTGGAAATTTTTACGTCGATTTATTTTTGCGAATTTGGGTCAAAAAGCTGTTGATTAATTTTTACGCTTCAAATTTTTGCGAATTGTCACTGGCGCAAAAAATAAAAATCACTGAAGATTTTCAAACCAGGTATTGTTTCAAATTAGTATGCACAGTTAGAATACCACCAATTAGGCCAAAAAAAATTAATCAATAGTTTCTCAGGCACCGCCGCATCAGTTCAAAAACGGCCGCATTGATCAATTTTATTGACATATTGAAAAGGGAAATAACTCAATTTTCTATTTTTTCCAAGTTGAAAAAAGAAAATTGAGTTTTCAGAAATGCTAAGATAGACGTTTTTATTAGAAAAACAATAAATTTCTTCAAAATTTACAGTATGTAATGAATTAACTTTAAAATAACAATTGGGAATAGCATTATTTAAAGTTGAATACATATTATAGCTAATTTCAGAGAACAAAAATTAAGAATTAATAGATATTATCATTTCATTGAACAAATGACTTAAAAAAGGTATACATGTAAAACCTATCAACCTTTAAAAAAAAAAAAAAAAAAAAAAAAAACCCTGTCTGCCGCATTGAATTTTGATTTTTTTGGCCTGAGAAACTATTGATTAATTTTTTTTGGCCTTAACTCGTAACGTGGCAAGAAATTGCAGAATCGCTCCGAAACAATTTTGATGAAATACATGTAAAAGGATTTGTACTGAAAATAACTTCTTAATTGATTATAACAAACATTTTAGAGGTTGTATGCCTTTTAACCTAAAATATAATCCAAATGAAGTAAAAAATGTAAAAATTTTTCAACGGTTGTTTTTTTTCACCTAAAATCAACACGCCGTGTTTACATTTGGAACTCTCTAGTAGATGCACTGAGTTCAAGTTATCGCCCATGTTGATACACGGTTAAATAAAATAACAGTTCTCTCTTTATTGGCAAAATAATTAAAAGGGGCATACCGCCTCAGTGCTTGTCAAACCATCGGACGATATTGCATATAATGAGGGCAATTTACAGTCATGGATAATTAACTTGTAATTATAGTAGTATAAACATGTTTCTTTTAAAAATGACCAGTGCTTACCGACACCTATTCTCTGAGTTAAAAAAAAGACACGAGCTGTCAGAAAAAAATTCTTCACATGTTGATTTATTTTTAAGAAAAATATTTTTGTGAATGCAATGCACGCACAAATTTGCTAAAAATTTATCTACAGTAAAAATCTCCAGATCTACAGTAGTAAATTTATTGTATTTTATACCTGAAAAGAAGTTTTAAATCTGCTTGTAGCTCAGGTAAGCTTTCCAGGCCCCTGACCTGTTTTGTATCTTTTTTGTATCTGTTCAGGTTCAGTGTGAGAGCTTCTGACCTGTTTAAGTATCTTTTCTCTGTTCAGGCTCGGTGATGAGACACACGTACCAGACACGGGGAGAGTTCAGTGTGACGGTGATAGCCAGGAACAGAGTGTCTTCCCAAACAGAACACGCCGTGGTGGTCGTCCAGAGTCTGATACAAGGTCAGTGTTCTATACAAACAAGATGACCCCTAACCCAACCTCCCTCTCCCACAGAGTCCAGAGTCTTATACAAGGTCAGTGTTCTACAGAAAGGAGGTCCCCCTTCCAAAGAACAAATGGTGGTCAAAAGTTAAGAGCCTCATACAGGGATAGAGGTCAGTAATGTGATCCCCCACCCACAGAACAAGTTGTGGTCTTCTACAAGGTTAGTGTTCAATAATTTTAAATGAACCAGCCCCCCCCCCCACCCCCTTTATTGACAGAGCAAGATGTGATCATAGTCCTATGTCTTGGAAAAGGATAGTGTACAGTTCAATGCGAAGAAGGTTTCTCTTGACCCCCAAAATTTAATATTTATATTTCTTCCTGTTATTTTTAAGGGGTGAGGTTGATAACGAGCACCAACATCACTGAGACGAACCAGGTGATTGAGCTGAGGGCCGAGACTTTACCAGAACCGGGTCTGGGGACGTACCATCACTGGAACCTGGGGGACAACCAGAAAGGAGTCCAGACAACAGAACCGGAGATAGATTACAGATACAGGAGAAACGGAAGGTAAGTGTAGGGATAGAAAGGAGTCCTGACAACAGAACCAGAGATTGACTACAGATACAGGAGAAACGGAAGGTAAGTGTAGGAATAGAAAGGAGTCCAGACAACAGAACCCGAGATAGACTACAGATACAGGAGAAACGGAAGGTAAGTGTAGGGATAGAAAGGAGTCCAGACAACAGAACCAGAGATAGACTACAGATACAGGAGAAACGGAAGGTAGGTGTAGGGATAGAAAGCAACCGATCCAATTCTCCCCAAAGGGCATAACCAATCAGACTCTCTCCTGAGAAATATTAAACCAATCAGATATTTTCCTCACAGTGATTAACAAATCAGACTCTTTCCTCACAGTTATCAGCCAATCGGACTCTCTCCTCACAGGATTAACCAATCAGATTCCTAATAGTGATTAACCAATCAGACATTCTTCTCATAGAAATAAACCAAACAGACATTTTCCAAATAGTGATTAACCAATCAGATTCACTCCTTTAAGTCATCAACCAATCAAATTCTCAAATTCTCTCCTCACAGTAGCCCCGTGGGGATCCGGGTTAGAATAGGTCCTCAGTATCCCCTTGCTTGTCGTAAAAGGCGACTTAATGGGGCGGTCCTTCGGATGAGACAGTATAAACCGAGGCCCGTGTCACAGCAGGTGTGGCACGATAAAGATCCAAAAGTGCCGAGTATAGGCCTAAATTTGCAGCCCTTCACCGGCAAGGTCACGTCTCCATATCAGTGAAATATATTAGAGAGGGACGTTAAACAGTATACAATCAATCAATCTCCTCATAGTCATCAACCAGTCAGATTCTCTCTTTCCTATTTATACTCTCTTTTTTTTACAATGTTCAACCATTGAAACCATTGAAACTACTCTCATGTTCATTAGTTTATCAATCATGCTATCTTATCTCAATATATCAACAATGGAAATGTTCTCCTAAATACCTAAAAATAATGTTAAACATATTTATTGCTACAGTAAAAGCTTACAACAACATCAGTCAGTCGGAGTCAGCGCCTGTAGAAAGCACCGTCCTGTCTAAAGTGAAGAACCAAGAGGTACGCTGTCTGAAGGACTCACTGGTCAACACGTCACTAGAATTCGCCGCGCCCAGTTACTCAGGCTCTAATCTGACGTAAGTCTGGGATTTTGGGGACGGCACTCCTCCCCTACAGTCCACAGTCACACTAGGGCCACAAGTCAAACATACTTATGTCAAGTATGTATTTCTTTAAATTCATAAGTCAATTTTTATAATAATGTATGCTAAGTAGGGATTTTGGATGAAGTACGAGTTAGTTATATTGGTACATGTACTAGTACAACAGTAAAATAAAGGCAGACTTGCTTATTTCACTAGAGGTTCAGATTCAAAAATATTTTTTGTTGAGAAGTTAATCAGCATTGACTTTTGTGATTACTGGTATGTTGTCTGTTGTACAGTGTGGGGAATTACTTTGCACAGGATCCAGTTTTTAAACTGTCTGAAATCTAGAGTTTAAAAACAAGTGTAGCGTATGAATTGTCTTTTGTATGTAATAATGACGGAAATGGGGGGTCTGCTGGAAAAAAAATAAAGTCGATTTTTTTTTTTTTTTTTGCAGTTATGAAGAAACAAATGGAAAAACGTCTGCAGTCTATTCAATTAGTCCCCACTAAGCACTTCATTCCACCTGAAACATCAACACCAGGGCCATCATAAAACAAGTTCTTCAGTCAGTGCAGTGAGAGCTAGACCAAGTGATACATATAACAGAGCATTGGTCTGAGATATCTGACATAGCAGCAGATGACACTTAGAAAATGTAATGCTCACATATATTTGGGATTTAAAAAAAACTATTAATAGATGAAGCATTATATGTTTTTATAAACTGATTTGCTATTTAATTCAGGGATGATGGTGAAGTATCTAGGGTTGAAGACTGAGCTGCATGGTGCAGCACAGTATCTATATTCAAACTTTTGAGTAAGTAATATGAATGCATGCATGTAATTAACAATATATGCCCAGATCTAACAATCCAGGCACATAAAAAGAGAGCAATTTAGTTTCCTTGATAATTGTTGGGTACCCCTTTTTTAAGAGAAATCCTTTTTTTAATCTTACATTTAATTCATCAGAAATAACTAATGATGAAGAGAGTAAGAATGAGGATGAGGAATATGAGCAAAGCTTTCATGTATCCCTTGGGTAAATAGTTTTCTTGACATTGGTGTTTATGTGATTTTAAATATTCAGACCACAAAAATAATGGTATAAATATGTATCGATGCTATTATTTTTATGCGCCCGGGTCGTTTATTGTCTTTGTCCTGTCTGTCTGTCTGTTGGTTTGTTGTCAACTTTAAATTTTAAATGCCATAGCTTTTGAACCATGAGAGATAGAGACTTCATATTTTGTATGCATAATCAACTGATTAAGTTCTTTCAATTGATACCAAGGTCAATGACCGTGTGATCTTGACTTTGACCATTATGCTAAAAATAGCCTTTACGAACTATGTTGTTGATGGGTGCATAGTGGTTCACAAACACATTTTGTTTTATTATGATATTTATAATTTTTTATGTGAATAGTTTTTAGCTCACCTGAGCCGAAGGCTCAAGTGAACTTTTCTGATCACATTTTGTCCGTCGTCCGTCCGTCTGTCCGTCTGTAAACTTTTCACATTTTCGATCTCTTCTCAAGAACCAATTGGGCCAATTTTGACCAAACTTGGTACAAAGCATCCTTAGGTGAAGGGAAATTTAAATTGTTAAAATGAATGGCAAAGTTTCCTCACAATAATCAAGAAAAGACAAAAATAGGGTGTGGTCATTTAAAATCTTCTTCTCAAGAACCACTGGGCCAGAAAAGCTGAAACTTATGTGGAAGCATCCTGGTATAGTGTAGATTCTAAATCGTTCAAATCATGACCCCCGGGGGAAGGGCGGGGACACAATGGGGAATCAAAGTTTTACATAGAAATATATAGGAAAAATCTTTGAAAGTCTTCTTCTCAAGAACCACTGGGCCAGAAAAGCTGAAATTTCAAGACTTCAAAAAACTTAATTATGTGCACATGGAAGGATCATGGGGATCATGAAGGATCATAGTTTAGATTTCAAAATGTCATAATTATGATCAGTGGGGTAGGGTGGGGATGCATTATGTATTACAAGGGGGAAATCTGGTAAAGAACAGAATAGTCAAAGCTTCTCAGGTGAGCGATGTGGCCCATGGGCCTCTTGTTTAGTTCACCTGAGTCGAAAGCTCAAGTGAGGTTTTCTGATCATATTTTGTCAGTCGTTCGTCTTTCTGTAAACTTTTCACATTTTCGACTTCTTTTCAAGAACTACTGGGCCAATTTTAACCAAACTTAGTACAAAGCATTCTTGGATAAAGCTTAAAGGGAGTTTAAATTGTAAGAATGAAGGACCACGTCCCTTCACAGGGGTAGATAATCAAGAAAAGATAAAATTCTTCTTCTCAAGAACTACTGGTCCAGAATAGCTGAAACTTTTGTGGAAGCATCCTGGGATGGTGTAGATTCTAAATTGTTCAAATCATGACCCGACAAGAGTTGGGCGGGGCCACAATAGGGAAGTTTTTCATAGAAATATGGTATGTCACCGATGCATGGTGAATCAACCCTACACGAAAAAAACTTTTAATTTCTTTGTAGCAGGAACTATTTGTCCAGAAACGCTGAAAATTTTGTGGAAGCATCGTGTAGTGTAAATTTTAAATTGTCCAAATTATGACCCATGTGGTAGGGTGGGATCACAATATTTATTACAAGGGGGAAATTTGGTAAAGAACAGAATGGTCAAAGCTACTCAGGTGAGCAATGTGGTCCATGGGCCTCTTGTATTGATATATTTTCACAGATTAGATCATGATGTTTTATCAAGCGAGTCAGATGAGGAAGAGGAGGGAAAAGATCAATATTGCCAACAGGAAAAAGATATAGAACTTGGTCTTGGTATGTAGAGACTTAGATCCAATGATGAGATGGATTCCTTTCTTGTTCAAAGCATTTGCTAGAGCTAGCTACAAAAAAAGTCAATTCAAAGTGTAAAGTGAAAGGATATTCTGAAGATGTGAATGTCACCATACGCACAGTCTCGTCTGCTGTTTACTTGACATGGGTAGAATTTTTTTTTACATAATACATGTACCGGTAATTAATTACATCTAGTAATTAAAATGCAGGAATTTCTCTAAAGAAATATGAATATATTCAAAACTTTTTTAATAACTAAATTTGTAATAAAGATGTGTACTTTTATTTTGCATAAAGGCTGGGCAAGAGAAATCAAAGAAACCTCTTTTGGCATGGATTTGTGAAGTAGTGAACCATTTTTGGTATTGCTCGTCTACTGCAAAACCTAGCTGAGACGGAATTCATAGTAAGTCAATCCAATAAAAAAACAAACAACAAAACCACTAATTATTCACTACATTAGAAATGACCACCTCTGTTTTTACTTCTGCTATGCTTTAAATTTTTACAGAGCATGTGGTTGGGTGTGATTCAGCACGTAGTAAATGAACATGAATGGATTCTTCCATACAGAGTAGGTGCACAGAATTATTGTCTGCATGGACCTCTGACAGAGGAGCGAGAGGGAGGTTGGTTAGAGGTAGGGTCATCAGCTCATGTTGCTCTGAGGGACACTAATTGTTCGAGACAAGAGACTGCTAAAGAAAATTTCATATTACTTGAATTGCAGGTGCATGAAACTTTGCCTGTCTATTTTTTTTACCAACCTGTGAATAAAAGATTCAAGACAAATTAACTTTTATTTCGGACATAATTATCACTGCTTACAAACTTATCTCTTTTTTGCAGAAGTACAGCTGCATTAGAAAATTTTCAAAATTTGATTTTGAAATACTCCTCAAAATAACATTCATATTCGACACCAGTATACAAGGCGAGAATCTTAATTGCAGCGTTAGACCACAACTCTAACTGTGGTAGAGAAATTTTAAGAAGGATGGCTCTCAAAGGTATTAGTATTCAAATATTGATAAAATTCAGGTTCATACTTCTAATTTTTCTATCCATTAACTAAAACACATTTTAGTTTTACTATAAATATATTTCCTATAAGCAATACTGGTATTTATCCCTTTTTTCAGACACCAACAATATTACAGCAAGAAGTGTGGGAGATGGTCTGTAGTGGCAGATGGTCTGTCTATAGAGTTAACTCAGAGAAAGTGTACCCTTACTCTGGGACCTTGATGAGAACCTGTTTTGAGAACAGACGACTGGGTAGAGTAGGAATGAACCAGCCAGTACCCTTACTTCAGAGCCTTGATGAGAACCTGTTTGGAGAACAGACGACTGGGTGGAGTAGGAATGAACCAGTCACTGGTTCTCAGTGCTGAGGATCCAAGAAGAATATCCTCTGTGCTAGCACCAGTCCCCCCACCACCTACAGCTGAACTAGTTGCTGGAAAAAAGTCAAGATTTTCTGATCTCAAATTCATATTTCATGAAATGAAAAGTAAAAGTTATGTTGTTAATGATTTAATGCGTTTTGTTTTAATTTGACATAATCAGTATCCAAGCACCCCTTCTAAGAAACCAACATATTGTCCTGATGGCTCGGGATATTAATCCCGAATTTTCCACAAGCAACAACTTGATATTACTTTACGATTGCCTGCTCCGAGTATCCCATGTATCCACATTATATATTGGCGATAGGCTGTGTGTCTGCGAGATCTATTGAAGTTTTTATCCCTAAGCTTAGCCAGCACATCATTGTGGTACCGCATGGCTACCTCCAACACGAGCTCATCTAACTGCAGATCTGTAGTGTTATGGCTTTATATATTTGTCTTTGACCATAACGCTACAGATCCAGTAGTGCAAAACACCTGCAATTTACGGCGCAAAATTTTTTGCGCACTTTTGGGGATAATTTCTCCACTTTCCAGCATTGGTCAATCAACTACCTTTCAATCCCTAATTCTAGATACATTCTGTAGCCAATATGTATATATTCTCCACCTCCCAACCATATATAGTTGTCTCTACATGCAATAAACTCGCTTAAAGTGAATTTACAGCAATCTAACAAATAATTTTTATCAGGCAGGTTTATCACCTGTAGAGACGACTATTAGGGGTTGGGAAATGGATAAAATGTGCAGATTAGTTTGATAATGTTCTTAGAATTAGGAATTATAAGGTAGTTTATTGACCAATGCTAAAAAGTGGAGAAATTATCCCCAAAAGTGCGCAAAAAATATTACGCCGTAAATTGCACGTTTTTTGCATTACGGGATTTGTAGCGTTATGGTCAAAGACAAATACATAAAACCACAACGCTACTGATCTGCAGCAAGAGCTCATCAAGAACAACTGTCTGAAAATCCTAAAAAGAAAATGTCATTGGGTTTACTGTAAGGCAAAATTTTAGACCATCATTAAAAATATTTTGTTTGAAGTACTCCGACCCACATTTTTTAGGGCGGGTAGGTAGGTTAGGAAGTTTTTTTTCCCTTTACAGAATTAGGCAAAATGATACACGTCACATAAATCAGATTCAGAAATTTATTGATGTACATTCTTGATTTACTTGGTATAATTTATAGCTAAAAAATTTCAATCAAAAAGCATCCTAGAGAAATTATAAGTACTATGGTTAAAAACTAAAAGTGCTGAAAAATTGCGTTGGATAGACTTTGACGAGTCGGTTGGAGTACATCAAACAAACAATTTTTATTGTTGGCTTTATAAAATCTACAGGGTTTTACAGTTTTAATAAGAAAATAATGCAGTTTATAAGAAATCATACTTACATGTAATATGGAGTGACAACTCAAATTCGATTTATTGCAGCAAACTTTTTCTAAGGACATTTCCCTACAATACAGGTACTGTAGGTGCAAATGCACCGGCTTAGGGCTGTACTACTTGGGTGTTGTGGATGCTCTGGATTTTCACCTTGATCTGTGTGAATGATAAGCAAGATGAAAGATGGTTGCTTAGACCACACTAATATAAGAGCAGCTCTGAGGCTGTCGGCATCTAATGATGCAATGCAAGTCTGAAATATATGGAGTTTATAAAAATTTTGCTACAAAGTAATACATACAGATCATTAGCTTTCTACCTCCACATGAGCTTCTCTTTCCTGTCCTGTTTGAACAGCTACTTCCAGCCGATTTGGTCATTGGCCGTCTCTTCCCCGTCCTCTCCTGGCACCACCACGGCCTCCACCACCAGCTGCAGGGGACTACAATTTATGAAATTGAAATCCCACATTATAAGCATTTGACTGTTACAAGGCAACAACAACTAAATTGGGGGGGGGCTAGCAAAATTTGGAAATAAATAATATGTCCTCAAAAATGTTTTAATAAAATAATAGTAGGCCTAATAATTACATTTAAAACCCGTCTAACTTTTCCACGGCCTCTCGTTCTTCTGTAGTTTGGTACATAATTCTCACTGATATCAAACCGATTACCAGGTGAATAATCACTTCTAGATTTATCTGAATTCCGCAAAAACAGCACAAAGGTAATTTAAAATTCATAATTTATTTGTAAAATTTTACCCCTCGAGGTTAATTTGACTTTTATTTGAAGTTTCTTAGTCGTTTTTACTGTGAAACAATAATCCCCCCTAAGGGGCCTCAAGTTGTTAAGAACGCTTTTCAGCCACAGTTTCTGAAAAGTTATGGGCAGAAGCTGCAGAACTGTAGCTCTTCGAAAAAATATATATATTGACAGACCGGAGAGCTACTGTGCCATCCATTGTGAAAACTGCACAAAAATTTACGCCTAGTTCTCGATTAATTCTTCCAAGTTCTTACCTCAATCGCGAAAAGCTGTTTCAATGACATAACTGACTTAATCTCCAGACAGTAAATTATTTGGCAACTATTGACCTGCTTCCAAGATAGGCATCAATTGAGATTTAAAACATTATTAGGAAGCCATTTTGTAAAAGGGAGAGAGAGAGGGGGGGGGTCTTGGTTTTCATGTTCAAAAAATTCTTGTACATCGCATTGCCTACTGTGTTAGAAAATAAATAACATTGAAAAACAGCTTCAGTCATCTTCAAAATTTGCCAACTTTGACTTTGAAGAATCAGATTTTTGTTTGGGATTAAATTGGCGAAATTTATTCCTTTGAACAAGTTCATAAAACCTTAATTATCACCTTCACATACTCTTAAAAGGAATTTCCTAAATCGTTCTTTCTCAGTGTATCCCTTTTTAATTATTTCATCTGCAGTTTCAGTTTCGACAACAACTATAAAGATCCTGCAGTTTCAGTTTCGACAACTATAAAGATCCAAAAACTCTTCCTCAAATGGATTTCCCATTTCTAAAAACATAAGCACGGCCCGCGATTTACCTATGAAAGAACTTTCTCGAGCAGCTCGAGTTTCTTCGTTATGTTTTCCTTCTTCTCGTGAACATTTCAACATATTCTTGTGAACTCTTTAGTAAGTATGCTGATTTCTGGACTAGCTACCACCTTTAATGCAGTTGGATCTTCTGTAACATGTAACCATCACCTTTTACAATAGCATTGTTCTTCTCACGGGCTTGACCAATGGCAATGTTTGAAAACTATTATTTTTTCTAAGTAAAAATTCCTTTTTTCATTAATCAAATTCTAAGCATATGTCCGGGTGCTTTGTTGCACCCAAAGGTGAAATGGTAACCATCGAGCATATTTGATGTGATCAACAACAATTACTAGTATCTTTGTAAAGCCTAAAATCTGATTCTCTGCAAGATCTTATCAAAGAGAAGACAACGAGTACCAACAGAATTCTTGACCAAAATTTAAACTGTGAAATATATTTATTTTGTTCTGAACTCCAAGAAAAATAGATCATTTATTTCAATTTCATCGCAATTATAGAGTTTCTTTGAATTTTAGTCTGCCTTTTAAAGTTATACAGAAAGCAGGCAGTAATTTCACGATCTTGTCTTGTTTTAGCAAGATTAAAAAATGTTGGGAAAGACTCATCAGTTCCAGAATAGGCAACTTCTGTCTGCTTGAATTAATGCTGTCATCCAGCCGCTTCCTTTCTACAAATCACCAAGTTGTCATTTCAATATGCAACTCATTGATCAATTAACAACAAATCTATCTTCACCATAAATTTCTGGTCATTCTCATGATATCTTTTGGCCATAACAAATAAACGTTGGTAACAAGCCATCACAAGCGTTGGTCTTGGATTTAAAAAGGATGGTGCTGACTTCACAGTCTATGGCATTCTTCATTGTGGAATGATTACTTGTTGTTTTATGTCATAAATACAACATTGATTCATTACCTTTTATTTAACGTTCATTGATTGATTATTTCACACATTAAAATTAAAGGTTACTTGAAAGAATTTTTCACTCAGTGATATTTTACGTTCTATGAAGGATTATTTCATTTATTGAGATTTTACGTGCGTTGGAGGAGTGTTCACTCTATGAGATTTTACGTTCCTTGAGGAATTATTTTACTTATTGAGGGCTTTCAAATTTTTTTTTACTTTTACTTGGTATTCAGGCCCAGAGAAGATAGAGGATAGAGAAGGAACGCCTGTGAGGCTTTTGTAAAACATGTGCTACAATTAAGTTTAAAAAAAAATGGCTTCTTGCCACTGGGATAATGTGTTTAAATTCTACAATAGGGAACGATATTATGCTTTAAGAAAATCATTTTGTCTTTATATTTATAGCATTCAAGTTTGTATATGATTTTTATAGTATTTTTAAACTTTTAAGATATATTTAAGCGGCCAGAGTATAATTAATTTGGTTGTAAAAGACTGTATGTGAGGCCAAACTGCATGAAAATGTCAACATTTTGTTTTAGTGGCGGCCATCTTGAAAATAGCGGAAATCGGTCGCCAACGCTGTTTTTAGATTTAGTAGTATCAGATAGACATTTGTGCCAAATTTCATGCTTGTGTCCACAAGTGAATTATTTTGCTGAAAGGAGTATTGCACTTAAGT